CGCGGAAATTATGTCTCAGAGTAGTCAGTGCAATTTGGGAAATAAATCAATTAAATCTGTATGTGGATGTGTGTAAATATTCAAATGTAATCCCCTTTGTAATTGTTAACATTTTCATAAGTAACTGTAATTTAATTACACATTTTTTCTTAGTAACTGTAACTGATTACAGTTACATTTATTTTGTAATTAAATTACGTAACGCCATTACATGTAACTAGTTACTCCCCAACACTGGAACCAGCAAATAGTAAAAGTTCTGTCTTGCATGTAAATGTGTCCAGTACTAATTTCCTGATCCAACACAGAATTGGGTCACTCTGTGTCAAATCAACCAAATTTCAGAAACTCCTCCCGGCTCAAACTTTTGATTTTGTCAGTATTTTTTCTGAAAGATTCTTCTTCATTTATGCATTTCCTTCACCAGAAAACAGTATCAAAATGAAAGTTTTAATACAGGGATCTCTGGTTGTGTTATCAGGGCTGATAAAGAGTTGTTTCTTCCTCTTGCGACTCTGACACACCTTCAGATCTCCATAAAGCGTGTGTGTCTGTGATCTCAGACAGGTTTGAACACGATAAGAGCTCAGATCGCTGACATTCCTTCTGTCTGTGGAGTTTAGCAGCAGGATGACGAGGATCGGGTCAGAGTTTCTTCGCGAGCGTCCGTGAGCACAGCACCAATCATGGCTGGCAGGGTCAGTTTTGACTCTGATCTGGTCACTGATTTCGAGTAAGTGACTTTTTACAGTTTTTATTCTTTCATCTGCACTTCCTGTGTGTTCTGGGTGTGTTCGCTGTGTGTGTCTGTGTCTGTGTCTGTCTGTGTGTGTGTAATACCGTTCATGAGTCATTTACAAAGTAAATGTATTTTTTGTTGCTTCAAGCATCACATTGTTTGTGGATGTATTTTTTATTTTAGCTGATTAAAAATTAATATACACTACTGTTTAAATGTTTGTGGTCAGTAAGTTTTTCCCCCCCTGAAATTAATGCTTTTATTCATCAAGGACACATTAACTTGATCAAAAGTGACATTATAGACTAGGGCTGCAACAACTAATCGATAAAATCGATTATTAGCGATTATGAAAATCATCGACAACGATTCTCATTATCGATTAATCGGGTCTGCCCACAGTGCACGTCCAATGGAGTTTACATACTTGTCTAACTTCAGCCGGTCGCGTCAAATTAAAGCACTGAATTACTTATTTCTATGGACAAAATGCATCTAAAATAGTGGAGGAAACAGAATGAGATGCT